AGATGATACCCAGTTATACATCTCCATCCCAGGTGATTTGAATGATGCTGTGACTACCTTTTCACAGTGCCTGGAGGCTGTGGGGGTCTGGATGGGGAACAACAGGCTTCAGCTAAACCTGGTAAGATGGAGTGGCTGTGGGTTGGGGGCTCCTCTGTATCTGGAAGTTTACCATCTTTGGTTCTAGATGGGGTCACACTACCCCAGACAGACCTGGTGTGTAATCTGGGGGTCCTCCTCACAACTCCTGCTCAAAGAGCAGGTGGCAGTCGTGGCCAGGAGGGCCTTTGCTCAACTACGTGTTGTGTACCAGTTACACCCTTTTTTGGATTGGGAGTCCCTCCAGTCAGTCACTCATGCCCTGGTCATCTCCTGCATAGACTATTGCAATGAGCTCCTCATGGGGCTACCCTTGAAAAGTATCTGGAAGCTTCAGCTGGTTCAAAATGCAGGCGCACAGGCAATTTTAGGTGCTCCAAAGATGGCATGTTACACCTTTGCTGCGTGAGCTGCATTGGGTCCCAGTTTGCTTCCGGGTCCAATTCAAGGTGTTATCACCTTTAAAGCCCTACATGGCATGGGACTGGGTTACCTGAGGGACTGTCTCACCCTCATTATATCCACCTTTCCCACCCGGTCAGGCAGAGAGGGTATGCTGCGGACCCTGTCGATGAAAGAATGTCGACTGGCAGGGTCCAGAAAAGAGAGCCTTCTCTGCCGTGGCCCCGACCCTATGGAATACTCCTCCCCCAGAGGCGAGGCAGGCCCCAATTCTCTTGTCCTTCCGGAAAGCAGTCGAGACCTGGCTCTGACAACTGGCATGGGGCGAAAAAAGGGGCAACCAACCCTGAGGGTGGCTAGCACCTTGAAGATGCCCCCATATGTTAACATCTTACTGATCATCAACATCTTGTAAGATATTATTTGCGTGTTTGGTTTTATTCTATTTTTACTGTATTTTTATATTGTTTATATTGTATTTTAATATTTATTGTTGTTTTATTGTGAACTGCCCAGAGTCACTTTTTTATGAGATGGGCGGTATCTAATTTTGAAATTTAAATAAATAAATAAATAAATAAATACATACATACATACATACATACTGGCTGAGGATAGTGAGGATTGTAAATCAGTGCCTCTTGAGGGATCATGCTAGGGCACTTTGTATTAATGAGGAATTACAGCTCAGTGGCAGATGTCAGCTTTTGTGGGTAAAAGATCTCAGCTCAGTCTCAAGCCCTTCTAAGTTAGGGCTGGGAAAACTCCATCCTGAAATTGCTGATCAGAGGTTAAGTGGACCAATGGTCTTACCCAATAGAAAGTACTTTTGATGTTCTATAGCATGTAGCACGTTTAGTTATTTATCAAATGTAAAGACACCCAATCTGTTGAGCAGGAGCAGTGAGTTCAGGAGGACTCCCAAGTTGTACACTAGTTCAGAACTAAAGATGGAAAGGCCTCAGAAATGGGAGAACCCTAAACACATAGCCACTGAGTCTTGTCAGGGTTGAGTTTAAGCCTGCTTCTCCCCATCCAAACTGCAAAAGTCTTAACACACTGGAACAAGGCTTCAACAGCATCATTTAGTTTCTTTGAGGTTGAAATGTACAACTGGATTTCATCAGCTTACTGATGATACCTGATCACATGCCATACAAGGACATTGAGTCCTGCCATACCTCATATGTCAAGGCCCTCAGCTCAACCTCTCTTATTCAGTGTTGTCCATACCTACTATTTGAGGCCAGACATAAATAGCTCCCTATCTGGCTATAATGATGTTTTCAGAAAAAGAGAAGCAGAGTTATCATTTGTTTTGAGGAATAATTCTT